CAATCATTGCATGATTTGTTGGATGTAAAACTGATGAGCTGCAATGAAAACCTTCATTCAATTCTCAATAAAATGTTTTGTTTTTAAAAGAGGTCACAGTCTGAAAGTTTTTTTGTTTTGTTTTGTTTTTAAAAAAGGTCAGACACTGTGTAGTTTGACTTTCAAACACATGTGGTCACCATGAGTTGAATCAACTCAACAGCAATTGTGTTGTTTTGTTTTTGTGGTAGGGAGAGGGCACTATATTACAATGGGGTGGTAATACCATTTAACTTACAGGACACTAGATCTGAAACAACATCCACTCCAAGGAGTTTCCACACTGGCATCACAACCCCCAAGGCTGGAGGAAAATGAGACATTGACAAAAACAGCAACCTACTGCAATAGTTCTACATTCATCTAATTAAATTACATTTAAGAAACTAGAGACAAGGCTGGCAGTGGACAGATATGAAGTGGGTATTGTTCTTAGAAGATACTGGACAAGACTTCCAGTCAAAAAGCATGAGGTGGCCTTAGAATTTTTCCTGGAAAAATTCCACTATCTTTCAATTCCATTTTTCCACAAACTTTTGAAGTCCCCTTGTATAATGTGCTACAACTTAGCCTATCATCAATAACTGTGGTTCTGTTTTTCAATCCATGAAAGAAAATCATGATAATTACAGTGGTTAAAGTAACAAAAGATCAGCCAGGTAACAGTGTCATTCAAATCAATTCAATTTCATCTGCATACAATTATTTAAGTCTTAATGATTTTTCCTTATATTTTTCTCTGCAGAAAGCCATGTCTGGCTTACATCCTCTACTTTCCATTATCTGGACTCTTACAAATATTGTGTACAAAATCAAACACCAAAAACCATAGTGGGGTTTCTGATTTTCAAATTGCGCCATCAGGCATCTTCCTTATCAGATGAAGACAGGTCCAAATCTGGCTTTAGCACTCTTAACACTTTGTAAAAGTGCTAAGTCCACAAAGAATGTATTTTCTTTTCATTTTACCACCAAGACAAATGAGGTTCTGTCTTAAAAGAGTTGTTTGCTCTAATGCTAGACAAAATTACATCTCTTGATGTGTTAACTCCAAAGTCCTTGAGTTATAGTACAACTGTAATCACTACTTTGAATGATATGCTGTTCGTAATTGGGGTTTGCCGGGCAGTGGCCTCCTGTGCCCTCGTAATTCCTAGAAGTTTGCTCTAAGAAGAAACCTTCATTTCAGAGTTTCAAGCAGTCTGAGTTTGTGCTGAGGGGATGCTAATCAGTTTAACAGAAACATGAGACTGAAAGGAATGGCTGATGAAAGCTCTTCAGATCAGCCAGGGCTGCCATGGGAAGACATGAGGTTTATAGGCCCAACACTGAGGTCTGAAACCTTCAACTTTAAATCCCAATCAATCCCATTCATTATTCCTGAATGGACAGGTCGAAGATAGGAGAACTTAAAGAAAAAGGCAAGCAAAAACAATATGAGCCAGACAAAAACCGTGTTATTATGTGCTGTCAAGTAGGTTCCGACTTAAAGCAATGGTTTCTGCACAGCAGCTGGAGTGTTTAAACTGCTTACTTTGCAGTTAGCATTTCAGAGTTTATCCTACAGAACCACATCTGGATAAAAACCTAGGGAAATCCAAATCCCTTTGCACAAAGATATAACTTTAAGGAGAAAGAAAGGAGACCTATCAGATCAGTAAAAGTCCAGGCTTGGAGAAAAAAGACACTCTCATATTGTTGGTTGAGAATGTAAAAATGGTACAATTCTATAGAAGAGAATGTAGCAAGAGCCAGGCAAATTACATATGCCTTTAACCCCGAAAGTCTGTAGTTTGGACATGGTGCTAAGAAGGACCAGTCCCTGGAGGGTCAGTGAAAAAGAGGAAGAGCCTCGACAAGAAAGAATGACGCAGTGGCAGTAACAATGGGCTCAAATATACCAACTGTGAAGATGGCGCAGGACTGGAAAATGTGTAATAGTACACAGAGCCACTAAGAGTCAGAACTGACTGGAAGGCACTAACAGCAACACCCCCAAAGATCACATAGATAACACTAAGAAGAACGGGAGTTCCAGAAGACTTGTGCTGATATGGAACCTGTACATAGACCAAGAGGCAGTTTGTCTGAACAGAATAAGGGGATTCCTTGTGGTTAAAATCAGGAAAGGTATATATCAGGGTGCAATCTTTTCACCACATTTATTCAATCTGTATGTCGAGCAAATAATCTTAGAAGCTGGATTAAATGAAGAACGCAGCATTAAGATGGAAAGAAGATTGATTAATCTATAATATACAGAAAGCAGAGAGGACTTGAACAACTTGCTGATGAAGATCAAAGATGGCAGACTTCAAACTGACTATAGCTAAACATTAAAAACAATAAAAATAAAAAAAGGAAAAAAAACCCACAAAACTCTTCACACTTACATCACAATAAACGGAAAAAAGACTGAAGTTGTCAAGGATTTCATTTTACTTGGATCCACAATCAGTGGCCAGGGAAACAGCAGTCAGAAAATCAAATGGCATACTGTATTGGGTAAATCTGCCTCAAATAGACCTTTTTAAGTATTAAAAAACAAAGATGTCACTTAAAGGACCAAGGTGCGCCTGACCCAGACCATGGCATTTTCAGGCACCTCAAATACACATGAAAGTTGGACTTGGAATAGGGAAGACTGGAGATGAACTGATGCCTTTGAATTACGGTGTTGGTAAAGATACTAAATATACCAGGGACTACCAGAAGAACACATAAATCTATCTTGGAAGAAATAACTATTTCGAGTGACTTTAGAAAACAGCATTTTGTTCCTTATTTGTTCTAAGGACAAATAAAGTTGCAAAAAGATCTTAAATGGCATTAAATAAACTTACAATTAGCAGTTATGCTGGTGCTACTCTGAAACTACCACTTTATATATTGTAAGATAATGAAAGTGACTGATCTCTGTTGTTAGGAACTAAGATTCCCTGCATATGTGAAAGAGGTTCAAGTGAAATAATCAAAGAAGTAAAAACCCTGTAATGTCAAATTTGAATCAGAGACACTAACATAAACTCATGATTTGTTTTTCTTTGGAAAAATGTTTAATTTCCTAGCTCTGTCCACTGAAGAGACTTTAGAAGCAACATCCCAATGGCAATGAACATACCTGGCAATTAGTACTTGTTTTTTTAAATTAGCATTCCCAATGATAGGAACCAGGGTTAACTGGGCATAAGAACTCACCAGTGAACCAGGCTTTCTTTATGTGACAAATACAGAAAGTAGGTAGAGGAACAGAGCAGCTGCCTCCAACTTAGGGCAGAAAATATACAAGAGTCTGAGTCATCTTGATTTTGCCCGAAAGTAAGGACAAAGAAGCCAATCTCATCAGGTTTCCACAGGTCAGTGGTAGAAGAACTGAGCAGGAAAAAAAAAAAGTAACTGATTAAAAATATTGAGAAACGAAAACCTTGTTGGATGCCCTGAACGTAACCAGGGCACCATTACCTTACTCTGAAAATTAAGAGAAAGGAATTAAGTCTGTATCCTGCTTTTCTTATATAAACTGTACTTTCATGTTACTCAATAATCCTAGTTGATGCAGAAAACTTTATCTTTACAGAAGCCTATCAGCTAATCAAATGTGGAAGTAACGAGAGAACTAGAAAAGTCCTATGTTGCACCTTCTACTGAAATGATTCGTTCAGGTCATGGTTATCAGTGGGTAAGCTCACTGGGTAAAAGGTGGAGAAGGAGCTTTATAAGAGGAGGAACCAGGCTGTCATTATTGGCCCACAATGATCATCTTAACATCACTAAAGCAGGACAGTCAGGCATGGTGTGCCCCTGACGTGAGGTAAGATCAAGTGCCCAGCACTATCTAAGAAATATCCTGGTCAAAAAAGTTGAACTTGGATCAAAACAAGCATGTAATATTAATTTTCATTTAATGAAATAATGGGACAGAAGAACAAATTAAAAGACAGGTTTCCTGACTCTCCGCAGGTGAAGAAATGTTTCCACCATATCATATACCATTATGATCCTCACAACCAAATGAAAGCTGCAATTTTAACACCAACTTTAAAAACAGACCTCTCTCCAACCAAAGTACTCAGAAACACTCTTAATTTTAAATCTGCCAGCTACTTAGAGCAGCTGGATCTTACAATGCCAAACATAAATCATCACTTTTCTGATCTGTGTATAAAAGACTTCATGTAAACTTAATTTTGAACATCAGACTCTACTTTAAATGGCAGAGTAATAGTAGTGTTTAAAAGAAACTTATGGATAACCCTTGCCAAAGTTCTAAATTTGTCTCAGCTCTTCAAATCATGTTTGCCTTCAGCAGCTGGCCCTTGCCATGTGTTAAAATGACTGTAAAATTCTGAAAAGTCAAAGCAAACTCTAGCTGACTTGCTAGCAAAATTAAAAGGTCAAGAGAGCAGTCACCTTGCTCGGAAAGGGATGATATAAGAAGGTCCTGGATAGAGTAGGAGAAAAAACGTGGAATAAAACTCAAAATCATAAATAAGACCAGTCTTACTGGTCAGTTAGGGACTGGTGGAATCCTGAAATCGGCTCTCAGACGCCTTTCAAGTCTGGAAATTAACTCAATTTTTAGCCAAACAAACAGTTTTATAAGGGGAGCAATTCAAACTAGGGAGGCATACACATCTTACAATAATCAATTAACACAGGTGAGGCACACATGCCTTAAAATGATCAATTCACACGAGTGAGGAACACACACCTTACAATAATCAAGCAGTTGAAACAAAAGGGCATCATTTACCAAGGACAAAGTTCAGAAGAGCCAGGAAAAGAGGAAGAATGGAAACAGGAAACACAGGGAAAAAGTGGGCTAAGTGAGGTTCCATTGTGGAGATTGCAAGCAGAGTTGAAACAAAGTATGTATAAATTACTGATTGGAAAACTGACCCGTTCTGTAGCCCTTTACCCAATTCACAATAAAAAGTTAAAGAAATAAAAAAAATGCAGTCACCTCAATGACAGGCACTGTAGAGTACACCTTTCTTCAGGGCCAGTGGTACTTGAGATACCAGATGGTTTCATTTTTCAACTGTGGTCCAAAGAGAGGGTTGAGTTGAGCCAGAATTGCAATCAGCCAACTAAAAGAATGATGGGAGAGAACAACAAAAAGTGGTGAAATCCTGCTGGAGTGTGACCATTTTCAATGCAGATGGAAAAAGCACTTCAAGTAAAATAAAGTCAAATCTATTCTGTTCATGTTAAATCCCTTCAGTACACATTGTGCTAATGGAAACACAATAAATAATACAGTCTACAGAACACACCCTGTCTTCATATGTATCCACCAAGATCACAGTGCAGTGATGCTTCATCAAAGCTCTCTTCTTCCTCATTACCATAACCTCCTTTCCAAGATCGAAGATCTTCTGAATTTATGTCTTAACTCAAAGTGCTTTGACATCATCTCAATTTATCATCATCGCTACTTCCAAGCTCAGAAAATATGCCTATTAGTATGTTGTTGTTGTTAAGTGCCATTATTATCACGGCCTTGTAAAGGGTTTCCAAGAAGTGGCTGTTGAGTTTGAATGACCGACTATGTGGTTTAAACTAACCTTTACCCAAAGCTGGAGATAGTACCCACTTGACCTAGCCTCGATGACTTTGTTAAAGGAAACACAGGTAAATTGCTACAATTTGATGAACTTGACCTATACTCATGGAACTTGTTAAGTGCCATCGAGTCAATTCCGACCCGTAGCAACCCTATATAGGGTTTCTGAGGGGTGGATGGTAAGCTTGAACCACTGACCTTGCAGATTAAACCAACTTTTCAGTCCAGTGCATTAACCGGCAGCACCCCACCAGTACTCATGGAGGTAGTGACTCTAAATACCAACACAGAGGGAAGGAGTCTTCACATCAAGTATCAATGCTACCCCCTCTGTACACAGGGTAGACAGGAACAGACAACTTAGATAATGACTACCTAAAATGAGGGGGCGATAAGGGCACGAAGTGACTGGTTTACAAGGTTTCAAGAGGGAGTTTAGTTTAATAGAGTGTGGGGTAAGAAAGGGTCGCCACTGAATAGTTTTCATCTTGTCTAGATGAGTCCCGTTAAAAGAGTTAGGGATAAGATTCTTACGATTCAATAGTGAGTAACTGTTATCATGACTAATTGTGACTGTCACAAGGTAGGAGTTTTGTAACAAAAACAAGGGAGTAATTAATCTTACAGTCCAGAAACAAAGGACCCTAGGACCATCAAGGGAGAAGAGCACAAGTGGAATGTGAGACCTTATCCAGAGAAGCAACGACACCAGAGATGGAGGCAGAGATGGGGACATGGAGAGAGGGAGCAGCTGAGGACTCTAGATTCATGGGAAGAGAGGGCCTAAGAGCTGGCAGCCAGGACGCAGACTTTGCAGAATGTGCCCTTTGGTGGCGTAAATTATTATATATGCCTGAGTGTTAAAAAAAAAAAAAAAAAGAGCTAAAGTGAATAGAGAGAAGACTGTTAACTGATGGTACATGGAGGGGATTATAATCATTGTAATGAAACAAGGTGCATGATTTGCTGAATGTTTAAACTGATGATCTGCCCTGCAAACTTTTACTCAATCCACAATAAAAACCTTGAAAAAGAAAACCTAACCTTGAGGCCCAGTGTTTTATCCCACAGTGCCACACCAGGACTCCTAGCTATTAATATGTTGTTATTGTTAAGTACCATGGAGTTAATTCTAACTCATAGCGACCCTGCACAGGGTTTCCGAGGCTGTAAATCTTTATGGGAGTAGAATGCCTCATGTTTCTCCTGTGAAACTGCTGGTAGTTTCGAACTGCTGACTTTGAGGCTAGCAGCCCGATTCGTAACTACTACGCTACCAGAGCTCCTTAGCCATTTCCAAACCCACAACGCATCCATTACATACATTTTTACTCGTATGTTGTTGTAGTTGTTAAGTGCCGTTGAGTCGGTTCCAACTCATAGCAACCCTGTATAGGGTTTCCGAGGAGTGGCTGGTGAGCTTGAACCACCAACCTTGCAGTTCAAACCGACCTTTCAATCCAGTGCATTAACTCACAGCGCCACATCAAGACTCCTTTTACTGGTATATTGCTATTGTTAAGTACTGTAGAGTTGGTTCCAATCCATAGCAGCCCTACATAGGGTTTCTGAGGAGCAGCTGCCAACCTTGCAGTTCAAATGGCTTTGTAGTCTGGTGCATTAACCCACAACGCCACACCAGGACTCCTTTACTGGTATGTTGTTGTTGTTGTTAAACGCCGTACAGTCGGTTCCGACTCATAGTGATGCTCTAGAGGGTTTCCAAGGAGCGACTGGTGAGCTTGAACCACCAACCTTGCAGTTCAAACTGACTTTGCAGTCTAGTACATTAACCCACAGCGCCATACCAGGACCTTTACTGGTATGTTGTTGTTGTAAGTGCCGTTGAGTCTATTCCAACCCATAGCGACCCTGTATAGGGTTTCCAAGGAGAAAGTGGTGAGCTTGAACCACCAACCTTATAGTTCAAATGACTTAGCAGTCTGACGCATTAGCCCATAGCACCACACCAGGTCTCCAAAGGTTAAATTTCAGCCCATTATGCTTCAATTAAAAGGTAACTTGAGTGCCCCTTCTCTAATCACCTTCATTGTTAAATCATATAACATCTTTTGGGCTCCAGTGGAGTTGAATCAAACAGGCATTTACTGTCTTCTACTGATTTCAGACCTTAAGTAACTTAATTGTTACATAAACAGACTAATTATGGACAAAGTACAGTGGTGTCACATTTTACCCTAGGGTTAGATGTAAAAACACATTAAATTTTTGTATGTTGTTCTTTCTAGTCGCCTGGGTCAATTCTGATTCACAGCAATCCATGTGTTACAGAGTAGAACTGCTCCACAAGTTTTCTTAGCTGTAATCCAACAGAAGCAGAGCAGCGGGCCTTTTCTTCAATGTACCACTGAGTTTGAACTGCCAACTCTTATGTTAGCTGTTGAGCACAAGCCATTTGCACCATCTGTTGGTGGTAGTAGGTTCTGTCAAGTTCCTTTGTATTCATAACAACTCTATCTATGTTCAACAGAACAAAACATGCCCGGTCCTGTGCCGTCCTCAAGTTGCTACACTTGAGCCCAGAGTTGCAGGCATTGTGTCAATCAATCTCATGGAGGGTCCTCCTTCCTCTTATTCAGTGACCCTCTATTTTTCCAAAGTCTCACCATTCTCACTTCTAAGGAGCAAGGAACATTCTGTATGGAAAAGGGGCTTCAAAAAGTGC